TGGTGATGACTAGCTGCCTTCCCTCTAGTCTTACACTGCTAAATTAGGGACGGCTAGCGCAGATAGCCCTCGTGTAGCTTTGCGCGAAATTAAAAAAACAAAAGTACTGTTTGATAGAATCTTAGCACGGGCTCTCAGAGGAATTCTATCGGTTCTCATTGCAAATTTAGTAAATTTGTTCTCATATTTCAGCAGTAATTGTACCATACAAATGTTCAAATAGATTTGTGCTAAGCGTGGCCTAACTCTTGGTGTTCTCCGACTTTAAATCCAAGGGTTCGAAAAGCGCATTGTAAGAGTGATCGTCAAATCCCACTATTCGGTGAGACAATAGTAGCTCATGAGTTGGCGGTAGGTGCTGTTAACTGGTTGCCTTTCTTCTAATCTATCAGTTCAAAATTCGATGTGTCTACACGCAGTTAGCCCTTTGTGTAGGCTTTGCCGAATACCACTATTCGGTGAGACAATAGTAGCTCATGAGTTGGCAGTGGGTGCTGTTAACTGGTTGCCTTTCTTCTAATCCAGCGTTTCCCAAACTATGGGTCGCGACCCACTGGTGGGTCGCAAGCGGAATGTTATACTAGAATTGCGCATTAGCTTCGATTAAACGCTGTCTGTCGAGATAGTTCAAGACTCGGGCTTTCATTGCCAGGCTGTTGTTGTATCAAGCAGTATGTTGTTTTGACGAGCTTAACGAATCAAGGTTGATCATGCTCTCAATTTAATCATTCGTCATCGTAAAAAGGAAATCAATTTTCACCTGTTCATACAGTACTTTAGCTATAGTACCGGTTTTATCAGTTGATTGCAGAATTTTAACTTTTGATTATAGATATCTATAAGACTTACAGAACTCCGCGACGAAGTTGCTATATTTCTGGAAGGTAAAAGCGATTTTGCGAAATATTTGCGCAACGAGGAATTTGTTCTGAGGCTCACGTATTTGGCAGATATTTTTTCAAAACTAAATATAAAAATAAAACAAGTATCCACGCATTTTGACCATTTTCTAAATTAAGTACTGAAGTATCATTGATTATTTGCTGTTCTCTAGAGAAATTAGTTGTTTGTTTTTTTTAAATAAGCATGGCCTTATTAATCAGCAATCTAACCAAGCTGTAGTTTGCCCTCCCCAACAACAAAAAAGTAAACGCCCCTCCACCCCAAAGAGTCGACAAAAATTTTCCTAGTAGACAATGACTATGACTGCTGTTCGTAATTCATAATTTTCGTTTTCTGACCCTTTCGTGAATAGATCAGTTTCAAGTTCCTGTTTATAGATAGACATTAAATACAAAGTTGTTATTTTAAAGAAATATCTGATGCATAGGGATAAACATTTTGTGCTTTTTTTGTTCGTCTAATTTAGAATGTTCAACATGCGAATACTATCTATAATTCTATATATCTATAGAGGTTCGATCCCCATCCCAAAGAGCTTAATCCAGCTTTGTAAAAATAGGTTTACTCTCAGATGTATTAATTTGAAATATTTGCTGTTACAGTTTTATTAAATTCAAACATCGCAGTTGTATTTGTTATGTTTTAGGCTAAACTGATGACACAGAAAATTGGCTACCCAGAATTCATCACCAACAGTACTGAACTGGACAAAGAGTACGAAGGGGTGAGTTGTGCTTGAACTCAACACAAGGGCGCCCGCAGGAAAAAAAAAATTAGAGAGGGTCAAGTAAATATGAAATACAAATAGCTTATAATGGCTGGAGACGGCTTGAATGGGTAATGAAGAAAAACTTTAATATAACAGCAAATGTACAACGTTTCGACAAGGTTTTGTCATCATCAGGTACTTATCATAGTTTATGATTTTCCAATAACGTAGAAGAAGAATTTTACATATCAAGTAATTTTTTTCTTTTTGAAAATCGGGGAGGGGGGGGGTCAAATGACCACCCTCCCCCCTTTCCCCCTTCCTGTGGGCAACAAGTATAAAACAGTCTTGTAAGTTACTCCTGAAGATGACGTAGATCACGTCGAAACATGTACCTGTAGAGATTTTAAAGTGGAAGCCGTACGGCTTCAATAAAAGTTTTTATTGTATAAATATAAAACGTTGTTTTTAATTAATTATTTATTATAATTTTAGCAACAATATATCAGTTATTTTCGATTTTAATGTTCACATTTTCATTAAAATAAACCAGCATAGAATGGCTTGAATAAAGTTTATAAAGATTACCGTTCACCAATTGAATCTATTTCACACCGAAACAGTTATTTTTTAAGCCATTTCACACCGAAACAGTTATTTTTTTAAGCCATTTCACACTGTAACAGTTATTTTTTAAGCCATTTCACACCGAAACAGTTATTTTTTTAAGCAATTTCACACCGAAACAGTTATTTTTTAAGCCATTTCACACTGAAACAGTTATTTTTAAGCCATTTCACACCGAAACAGTTATTTTTTAAAGCCATTTCACACCGAAACAGTTACTTTTTTAAGCCATTTCACACCGAAACAGTTATTTTTTAAAGCCATTTCACACCGAAACAGTTATTTTTTAAGCCATTTCACACCGAAACAGTTATTTTTTAAGCCATTGATGATATAAGTAGCGTCTCGACCATTACTATGTATGCAGTATTCCAGCTGGTCTGAGGAGTCTTGGTATTAAGACGAAAGGCCTCATCGACCCTGGATATAGCAGATATATTATGGTTGATATATATTACATTCCCCTTTACGTTTACTCACAAGTTCTTATAATATATGCATATTAATATGCACCCTAACTAAATATTAATCTTTATTTATTTTTTTATTATATTGTCCATTAGATAGTATTGCACCCGGACAAATATTTCGAGAATGGTCTTGAAAATCTCAAGCACTACGCTTTGCAGGAGCAGTTGAAATTACGATCGCCTGTCAACCGTAATCGGTAATCACGTGATCAAATTATTTATATTATCGAAGTTATTTATATTATAAAAGGCTTTTACAATTATAAGTTATGTGTATGATAGTTATTTACCAGTCGGCCTGACAAATCCTGGTATTATGTGAAAGGCCTCGTCGGTACTTAATATAGAAGATATAGTGTGTTTGGCATATCATTATACACTGTTTATTTTCATTCGGGGCCCGGCATGGCCAGGTGGTTAGGACGCTCGACTCGCGATCTGAGGGTCGCGGGTTCGAATCCCTCTCACACCAAATATGCTCGCTCTTTCAGCCATGGGGGCGTTATAATGTGACGG